TTTGTTTCTCTTGAAATACAATTGCGTGGAAAACAGTTTATTGAAAAACAGTTGTGTATATTTTAATGTTGAAGGGTATTTCTTTTTCTTCAGTAGTCAGGTTGGTTGTTTTAAAATGAATGATCTCTTGGGTTTAAATATAATGTTAGATATCAGCTAAGCTACTTGCATCCATGGAGTGAATAGCTGAGACATTTACTTCTTTAAATGCTTTAAAATGCAAAGCCGTTTGAGTCGATTTTGTTGTTTAGAAGAAAAATTCCAAGCTGGGTGTTTTTTCAAGGAGCGTGGTTGGGCTTTAGGAAAAGTTGGAAGCTCAGCTGAATGATACAAACGCATTTTCAAATGAATCATTTAGTTGGCTTCATTAGTTTCATTAGCTAGTATTTGCTCATCACACTGTGTTTAGCAATTCCCGGTTTTGTATATTTTGGCTCTTAAATCAGCGAGCAGCGATAAGCATATTCACAATTCCTGGTTGTGAAGCTGAAGGCCAAATAGGAGCCGCGGCTTTCTGAACTTTATGTTAAATATATGAACTCAGCCCCGGGAAACACTGCCCAGGTGGCATCGGTCCTGCTGGAGCCTTTGGTGAAACCCCATCCCGGGCACCGGAGAGGTGACCTGGCACCGACATGGAGCTCCAACGCAGCCCGTGGCTTTTTCACGTCATCCACCTCCGCTTTGGGAGCTCTCGCTCCAAAGCCCCGTTGGACACGGAGGCTCAGTGGGTTTTCCATCCGGCGAGGCGGCTGGTGCTCCCCGGGAGCGCCCGGGCCACTGACAACCGCGCTGCTCCTCTGGCTGCCAAGTCCCACTGCTGCAGCTCCGCTTTTGTATCGGGTCATGTTTGCGTCTGGCAGAGATTTGTAGACACAACATCATTAACAGCGGTGCATATTTTCACAAGATTTACCTCTTCAACACATTTTCCAAGTTAGTAAATCATAGCTTCTTTAATGTCCTGCTGGCTGTGTGAAAAACAGGAATTTATGTAACAAGCTCTAGGCCGCAAACCTTTTCCTGTTAGGAAAATTTTTTTTTTTCATTGTTGGCACAGTTAGGAGACAGCTCCGTTACTCAAAGAGCGACCTCAGATGTCCTCAGTGCAATAATACCAGATTATAATATTTTTGATGACTAAGGAATAGCAGTAATTTCTAAACTATTTAACACTTCTTGTGCGGAGGAGAAGGAATTGTGTCGTAGCACGCTATTTTCCACAGCCCGGGTTTTGTGTGTCAGAGATGCTTGTTTTGATAGTAAACACCAAGCCTGAGCCAATGGCCGTGTTTACAAAATACAATAAAACACGAGCTTTTTGGCGCAGGAGGTTTTCTAATCAGCAGTGGCGCGGAACAACTTTCTTGCGACATTTCTAAATCTGGAGCGGGGTCAGCCTCGCGTTCGGCCGTGTCCCCACAGCGAGAACAAAGGGCCTTCCCCGTGCGTCCCGGCCCTTGGACATCGCTGCTGTTGCCACATGGAAGCCCAAAGATGGGCTTTTGGATGTCCCCTCCGGACTCCACGCCGTCCACAGCATAGTAAAGCAGCGAGATAGGTCAGCTAGACATCTTCACCACCAAGCAAGGTCTCATCTCCTCACTCTGCCTTAGCCAGGACCTAAAGCACCAGCAGTATTGGAGGGTGGATGTTGAATCTGAGCCATGCATGTGGCCAAGGACCCATAAACTTCCCCTCAGCGAGGGAATTCCCAGATACGGTGTTTTACAGGACTGAACCTCACGAGTATAACATTTTCAGGCCTTCTTAGTGTCTTACCGCTAGATAGAGGATGGGATTTTTATTGTATAAGTTACCTGCAATGGAGAGATGTAGTCCTATGTTAATTACTTAACATTAGAAAGATTGGCTTCCTTTCAGAATTGAATGAGGCCAATTCCAACTATTGTGGGTATTTATCTAATGGGGATAATGTTTTAAAACTAACACTTTGGACAGGGAAGATGAGATTGGAAAGATTTCAAAAGTCAGGAACACAATTGGACTCCTTGCTGTGTAGGTGATAGCCTGAGTTGACATAAGGTTCTGCTGCCTTTTGCTGTCAAAGAGCATTTTGCTCCCCTTTTGGGGGTTAAGGTTGCACTTGTGGGGAACAAGGTAGGTCCCCAAGGAGATGCAGCCTATATGTTTTTACAGTCCTGTATCACCTTCTTCTTGCATTCATCTACTGGGGGTGTCTTCCTAGGCCTAAATGTGACAGTCTCTGATGACTTATGCAGATGGCCAAACCTGCTTTGGCCAGATGGCCTTCCACCATCCCCAGCTGGGTGTGACTCTTCTAGGGGTTTTGAATCTGTGGTCTCTAATTTCAGTCAGGCTCTCTGAGGTAACTCTTTTCATCTGACATGACTCCTCCTTGTTGCTCCTTTTCTTCTGAATATGTAAGGAATGAAGCAAGGTGACCTTCTGAAGAAAAAATGCACTTTTGGGGACAAAACCCTTGGCATGTCTACTGTCACACACTGAAAATCAGTGCTGATTATGATACATAAGAAGAAAAACATACATACAGCAGAGCATTCAAAATTACAATTTTTTTAAACTAGCTTAAATTTTGAATAAAACCTCATATTATGGGAAAATATGCCTGGTTCTGTCAAATTATTATTCTTCGTCGTATAATGTCCCACTTGGAGTCTGATTCTGAATAATGCTTGTTTTTCATGTGCTTAAGAAAGCAGATGTACACAAATGCACAGACAGAGTAGGGAAGGTGGAAAAAGATGCATTCCTGCAGATGTTGCAGTATAGGGTTATGTTGGTTTGGAAGCCAGTTTGTTTTTTGATGATTAGCAAGGCTTGTTGGTCACAATGGACATTTCTGCTGGCTTTCAGAATCTGTCTTTCTATTTCTGCTCTCCTAGATTTTTTTTTTCCTAGGGAACCAGATAAAAGGGTTTATTAATGGAATTGAGCTATTCCCATGTTATGTCTCCAACCTCATGTGCTGCTTTGTGGTTTCCTTCTACTGTTCTTCACAGATTGTAGTCCTAACACAAACTTGTAGATTATGCTACTGTCCTGCCCTCCTAAAAATATCTGTAGTAGGCTATTTCAACACTCTTTGAACTTCTGGCCTCTTGTTAGGTGTTATTTCAAAATTTGGAACAACTTTTCTGCACATGCTGTGCTCCTTACCTGTGTTTTGCAAGAAATTACATTATAAAAAGTCTGTAGCTTGATATAGCAAAGCCTAGTCTCTTGTTAACATGGCAACTGTTGGGTTTGGATTTTTAATTTTTGGTTTTGAGGTTTTCATAGAATCATAGAATTGTTAAGGTTGGAAGGGACCTTTACGGATCATCCAGTCCAGCCCCCCTGTACACACAGGGTCACCCAGAGCACGGGGCACAGGGCTACATCCAAGCGAGCATTGAAGATCTCCAGAGAAGGAGACTCCACAGCCTCCCTGGGCAGTGGCTCCCTTCACCCTCACAGTGAAGATTTTTTTTCTTAAGTTCCTGTGGAACTTTTGGTGCTTCAATCTGTGGCCATTTCCTCTAGTCCTGTCGGTGGCCACCACTGAACAGAGGCCGCCCCATCCTCCTCAGGTGCCATTTGTAAACACTATTATTCCTTTATCACTTTGGGCCCATGAGGATGTTATGTCTGTTTGAGCTGCAAGAGGTTAAACAACACTACTGTTTGCTCATGAGTTGGACCCCTACATCTTCATTACCATCTGGGAGAAGATGCCTGTTCTTTCCTTGGACAAAAATCTGGGTTTTGTTTTTTATTATGTTATTCAAGGACAAAACATTTAACATTACTTGTGGCTCAGGAGATAATGAAGAGCTTTTGGTAGTCAGTCTTGGGACAAGACATATTTATCTTGTGCCCTCAGTTATGAAAGAGGCCATGTTGCATATTAAAATACTAATTTTGAAGAAGAAAGATGGTTTTAAGAGTAAACTGTAATGCAACTTTGTCTGTACTGTTTCTATTCCCCTCTTCCTCATGATTAGGCAATTTGTCATGATTTATATATCTGGAACTTAATCCTCAGATGATTTTCTGTATGCATATTCTTGTATAATACAATAGGAATCTCACTGAAGTTCAGTGGCAATACTCGCAGGCTGATGCGTGATCTTATAATGGGATCTTATCATGTATACTCCTAAATCACAGGATTTGGGAGTATACATGATGAGATCCCATTATAATATCCATAAAACAGGTTCTAGTATTCCTGAATTCTGCCCAAATGCAATCAGTTTAAATTCTTTGGAGTGAAGCTGATAACTGCATCTTCATTGAAATGTGTCTGTATGGTAGATATTGTCTGCTGTATGAGGAAATGTGTCTTTCATAATGACTTTATTTAACTCTTCAAAATGTAAGATCTGAACAGATCATATGACAGACAAATTATGTGGCAACTCTGCAAACTCATTTCATCCAGTTCCAAGTGGTGAGCTGATAAACATATTTCCACAATGGCATATTTAGCTATTTCATGTTTAATATTTACATTTTCAAATGAAATGAGAGTGTGTTTGCAAAGACAAAGCAATATCAACGTACTCAGGAGAGGAGCAACTTCTCTTCCCTCCATGTGAAAGAGTTAAATTCATGTAAGCAAAGACTTTAGCAGATTTGGTGGAAGGCCTGTCCATTACAGCAGGTTTTTTATAAAGGTGACTTGATGTGAAAGGCTTTCCTGAAACTAATGAAATCTTGAGCATGTTAAGTAACTGAGTTTATATATAGAGAGATAGTGGGGGCTGCAGTAAAGAGTAGGGTGTTACAGAGCATCACAGTTAGGGCATCACTGTTAGGGAGTATGGTGTTTGGGAACTAATTGTATGTACAATTCAGTCATGAGTGTTTTCTTTTCTTTTCTTTTTTTTTTTTTTTTTCCCTGAAGTGTCTTTTACACTTGTAGCATCAGAACATCAGGATAGGTTGATCTTTGAATGTCAACAGAAATAAAACCTGTGCTCTTACACTTCTTTTTTTTCTTTCTCCAGAATTCAATCCGTCACAACCTTTCTCTGCACAGCAAGTTCATCAGAGTGCAAAATGAGGGAACAGGGAAGAGTTCTTGGTGGATGCTCAATCCCGAGGGCGGAAAGAGTGGCAAATCTCCCAGGAGACGAGCAGCATCCATGGATAACAACAGCAAATTTGCAAAAAGCAGAGGCAGAGCTGCCAAGAAAAAGGCATCCCTTCAATCTGGTCAAGAGGGAAATGGTGACAGCCCTGGATCACAGTTCTCAAAGTGGCCAGCGAGCCCCAGCTCTCACAGTAACGATGACTTTGATAACTGGAGTACATTTCGTCCCAGAACTAGCTCTAACGCTAGTACAATTAGTGGAAGACTTTCCCCGATTTTGCCAGAGCAAGATGATCTCGGAGATGGGGACGTGCACTCCATGGTATACCCGTCATCAGCCACCAAAATGACTTCTACTCTACCCAGCCTTTCAGAGATGAGTAATTCTGAGAACATGGAAAATCTTTTGGATAACCTTAATCTCTTGTCACCTAATACATCAATGACTGTGTCAACCCAGTCTTCATCTGCCAGCCTGATGCAGCAAACACCAGGTTACTCGTTTGCATCCTCGACCACAAGTATAGGTTCACCAAATCCAGACTACAGAAAATATACTTATGCTCAAGCTAGCATGAACTCTTTGCCCCAAATTCCTATGCAGACTCTTCAAGACAGTAAATCAAGCTACGGAGCGATGAGCCAATACAACTGTCCTGCGGGACTTCTGAAGGAATTACTGACTTCTGATTCTCCTCCGCACAATGATATCTTGGCATCAGTGGACACTGGTGTTTCCCAGCCTGGTGGCAGGGCACTGGGCCAAAGTGTGCTGATGGTCACTAACTCGGTGATGCCAACCTACGGCAGCCAGCCACCTCACAACAAAATGATGAACCCTAACGCTCGCCCTCACCAAGGACATAACCAGCCAACGCCTGCGGTTAATGGTCGTGCCTTGTCACACACAGTGAACACCATGTCACATACTTCAGGTCTAAATCGCTTGTCAACAGTGAAGACTTCGTTACAAGTGCCTATGAGTCACCCGATGCAGATGAATGCTATGAACCCGTACGGCCCCGTTAACAGTTGCAACGGCTACGGAAGGGTGGGCATCGTTTCTCTCCACCAGGAGAAGCTTCCCAGTGACTTAGACGACATGTTAATTGAGCGGTTGGACTGTGACATGGAGTCAATTATTCGTAATGACCTTATGGATGGAGAAACGTTAGATTTTAACTTTGACAGTGTATTGCCTAACCAAAGTTTTCAGCACAGCGTAAAGACAACCACACACAGTTGGGTGTCAGGCTAGGATGTAGTAGGAGGTAAGCTGTGCTTTTTATGATAAAAAACAGATTAAAGGGAAAAAAAAGATGTCAAGTGCTTACAATCTGGGTGGCTTCCCACACTGGCATATGAAGTGCCTTTACTGTCGGTCACTTTCCAGTCCGTTATTGGTTTGTAAATGAGGTTTGCATTAGGATTGCCGTGCACCAACTTCTGTGCTTTTATGTGGAGTGCTGATGTTTTGCCACTGCTATCTTAAATAAAATCTTATTGGTAACTAACGCTTATTAAATACATGCTTCCCCTCTAAGTTGTCTTAACGATAGTTTGAATATATTTTAATTGGCAGTGTCTTTTGGTGTGAATGTTGATTTAATCGTATTTTTATTTTTATTTTCCTAGGCTACAGTTAAATTCTCCAGACTTGTCTGACAGCAGGAACTGAGAAAGCAGTACAAAGATGTCCTTCACCTTCCTTTTTAATTTTCTTGATGAAGCTGTGCACATGCACTAGCTTTTTTGGGGGTCTTTTTTTTTCTTCTTTTTTTCTACCTTTCATCAGAGTTGGCAGCAGAGAGAGTATTTTCCTGTACAGGATGTTTGCCCAAGGTTTGCAGGTTATGTGCTGCTGTAGATAAGAACTGTGCCATTGGAAATTTCATTACTCTGAAGTGCCAAATTCACTACACCATATAATCACAGCAAAGACTCTTACATCATGTTGTGCTTTCAGTTTTGTACAGTATGATCTGTAGAGGAATTGTTTTTTAAGACTATCGGTTTTGGTCCAAGAAAAGTTTATAAACTTTTGTAAGAATACTGTGATGATCTCATGCCCTAAGCAAGTTTGACCTTCATTGATGTTACCTGTGTTCTGATGAATTGAGATAACTGTGGACTTGCTTTGCAGCAGTATGAACTGCTTTATTTTTACTCAAAATTGCCACACATTTCATATGGGAACAGAAAAACCTGTTAAATATGATCCTACTAAACTCACTCACTATTCAAAACAAACAGCAGGTTAAATGCCATTCGATAAGTTACCTGTATTCATGTAGATTTATGCAAGAATATACCTGGGTTTCATTGTCAGACTAATGACTTTATTGTTGGATTTAAGATAATTTTTGGAATAGTTTCCAAGCTATTTTTCTTATAATTAAAGTCTACTTTTGTTACATAGGCAACTGAAAAATTACAGAATCTGAGATCTGGCAGCATTCATAACCTCCTCATTTTTGTACAGTATTTTAACTGGATTAAGTACATGTTTTTATAAATTTCCCTAGCACTTGGGAGTGCTAATAAAGGAAAAGCTTAATAAGTATCTTGAATACAAAACATTTCTGCCCTTTTTTTTTGGTTGTTGTTGTGTGATGTATAAATATAGACAACTTTATGTTTAGGAAATATTTAATCAGTTTTATATATGCATTTTTAGAAATGTCATCTGCTTCTATTATCATTTTAACTCTGACTACCACAAAGTGTTAAGTATTCACTGTTAGATGCTTGTACAATGCTTCACATTTATATTTATTTCATGGAGGTCTCATAATGTTTGTGCACTCAAGAGCAGGACCATTGGGAGAAAATTCTTAATTTCAAGTAAAGTTAATGACATAAATGTAATTTTTCTCAATTCATGCTAGATTTAGGGTCTGTCAATGTTTCTGTTGTCATGCAGTATGTTTGAGGAGGTGAAATGGGAGCCCCTTAATGGGAGGCTGAAATTTATGGGACCTCCCCTTTCAGGGCAAGAATATCACTTTTTTGAAGTAAGAGAGAAAAAGTAAGTGGCAAAGTTATACAAATATAAGGGCTTAAGGAGAGGGCACAGCATTTATGACAGAGGCCTTGTTTCTGCAAAAAACCTTTGCTCATTTGAGTAGGCAAACACAACTACCTGAGCATTTTCAGGATTTGGGTCTTGGATAAATGATTTCAGTATTTTTGTCATTGCATGATGTGGTTTCCATGGGTGTGTGGAGCACTGGCCTCATTTGCCTTTATGTTGGTTCCTGCTCATTTTTTTGTGTTACAGAAATCTTCGAAGCTTTTCTTTTTCGCACTGACAGTATGAAGAGTTTTCGTGCTAGGACTGGCTGTTGTGAAGAGAAATAAGTATTTTCACTGATTTTTGTTCTAAATGGCCTGCAACTGGAGAATGCTCTAATTGAAACTTTGAAACTGCTTTTTTTTTTTTTTTTTAATTTTATTTTATTTTTCCCTCCAGTGATGCAGTATGGTGGAGAAAGACATGTAATGTGCCAAGAAAGCAAAAGTTTAGTAATAAGCCATGAATTTAATGATCCTGGTATGACTTTCCTAAAACTCTGCAATATATTTATCAATGTGCTAGCATTTAGCAGCTCCCTTTTGGGCTTAAATCACTTCTAATTACAGCTAGTCCCGCTTTTTTTCAGCTGTCTTTTTAGGGTTGTCAGCAGTTGCAGAAGTTGATGTTGAGCTGTCCAGTGATACAGGATCTCTCCCACTGTGCAATCTCTCCTTGAGCTTCTCTTGGGCAAGATGAAATGTTCTTAGTGCTGTAGCCTTTAGGAAGCAACCTGCTTTTACTCGCAGATACCTCTAGTAGCATCTTCACCACCACATGAATCATCTCTGAGACTTGACTGCAGATGCTGGCAATGGAACAAGGGGGAGCTCACAAATGGGTTTCGGAAGATCCTTCTTTTGCCGCATGTGCAAAAATTTGCTTGCAAATGGGCGCTGATACGCATATGCCATAGTAGTCAAAAATTCACCTCTGCTCACAAAGGAAGCAGTATTGAACATTGAACTCCATGGTTTTGCAGCTGAACCTGCTACATTTAACAATATACCTCCTGTTTATTATTTACTGCTACTGTATAACTTCCTGTATTCCGATATTTTCTTCATTTCCGTTTATAACTATGAATAACATAAATGTAGCAGTTCCTTAATTACTGCAGACTGTAGGAAGCCCCTTCTAAATATTATGGAGAAAAAAAAAAGAGTTGTAGATGATCAGATGTTTTGGGTTATGTGGTTAAGTTTATTTTCTTCTCTGTGGTGCCATTCTGTTATTTTGTAATTGTAATTCTGGAATACTGTGAAGTCTGCTGAAGGGCATAGTGTCTGCCTTGGAAAACAAACATTATGGGACCTCTAGTAATAAATCCTTTTTCAGTAAAAGTATCAAGTTTCTGGAGTAACTTAGTTTGTCAGAATTGTTGTAAATGATTGGTTTGTGAATTGTGCAGATGATCTTACCTATGCAGCCTTGTTTTTGACTTTTCTCTGGTTTGTACTGTTATTAAAAGTTTATTGTATTATAGAGCTGTTCAGATATTTTAAATATAAAGATGTTTTGTTTCCATAATATAGCTATATGATATATGTTTAGGTAGTAGATGCATTAATTGGAAAGCTCTGCTTTGATAAACTGACAATTTGCCTACACTTATAAGCAAAAGTCATATTGCTTATTATTGGCTTAAGTCAACAGAGCATCCCTAAGAAGAGGAGAAGTTAAAATTGGACCAGTTATAAAACAGTATAAAATTTGCACTTGTTAAACCACTGGATGTATGTTAGTACTTTTTTTTTTTATTATTTTTTTACTGATTTGAAATTCCTATTTTCATTATGAAATTGCTAGGATCCTTAATTTATGACTGATTTTAAATAAGATATTCTCTTTTTCTCTTTTTTTTTGGGGGGGGGGGTGTAATCATTATGTAAAATGCCGCATGGTTTATGCAAACAAAATTACTTGGCATTAAAACTGGCCTCCTTTTTGAGGGTGTTCCACAAACCAGCAATATCATGAGAAATTGGCAGGTACGTACTGCTAGTTCAGCTTGTGAGTGGTGTGACAGCTCTTCAGTGCTACACTGCTCTTCGTAACATTGCAGAATTTAAATTCCTATGTGGATATTTTCAGAAAAAAAAGTGCCTGATGTACTTTTACAGACACAAGAGAACAATCCCTTACAGTTTGTTGTATAAAGCCATAAATGTATATAAATTATGTTTAAAAGGCTTTGTGTCCTTTCTTGTATATTGAGAATGAGATTTGTACCAGGATTCTCCTTGTGATTAGTAATCCTCCTATTCAGATGTTGTCGTAATCACTTTCGTTAAATGCGTAATCTTTTTAATGATGATGATGATGATCCCATTTGGACAATCCTGATGGCATTAGCAATTTTATATAGAAAATACCTCATGGTACCAAGCCTTGCCTGGCAAGACAGTGCCATATTAACAAGCAAACACTAACGACAGAATCGTTAGCAAATTTTCCATGTCTCAATATAAAGGAGTTTCTTGGAATTGCTTCTGGAATTAGAACTGTATCAGGTACAGTAACTGAATAGGGCTGTGTTATAAGTATTTTATCACAACATAGCGTGCTAAAAAGTAACTTGTTTACAAGTCCTCGAGACTAAACGCAAGAAGAATCCATGCCTGACTCTTAGAGTTGGTAAGAGATGTTGTGTAGAGGCGCTTTGTTACTGGAAGCTGCATTAGGCAGCATCAAACCTTGTTGCCCTTGCTTCAACAAGCCTAGTTCAGAGAAAATTATAAAATTCCTGAGATCCTTTCAAAATGGGTATTTGTAAGTATGAGCTCTTAATAAAATTGCTATGACATGAGATGGTAATTAGTGTATCAGAATGTTATGTAATACATTGTTAAGGAGGAAAAAAAAAAGACTGCTAACATCCATCAAACTCCAGGAAAGAATTACTCTTTTAGTCCAAATTACTAGTTAGATCCTAATGCTATTGAATGTGGGAGGGAGCCAGCTCTGGAGAGACACTTTTCTCTCTCCTCCCCTTGTAAAAAAGAGACAGTTCACAGAGTCTTCTTGGCCTTTTTTTTTTACCTCATTTTTGTCTCTCGTTTCCCTTTGTCCCTCCTTCCTTTCTGAAGGATACTTCCTCCAAGAGAACTTTTTCTTTGCTGAGCAGTTGCGTTATCTAGGCCAGCCTGCTCAGTGCTGCTCCTTTTGGAGCCATGTTTTACTCTGTAGAGGCAAGAATGCTGATATGAGTGGAGATGCCTTTTTTTTTTTTTTTAATTTAGATTGTGTTTCAAAACAGAGCTGGAAGAAAGGAGGAAAGGCTGCCAAAACAGCCAGCCAGCAACACCCACGCCACAATAGTCATGTGGGGCCCAGATCCCTGCTTGCCTGCAGGTGGGGAGGGAGACGGGGATGGCAGAGAACAGGCTTCTAAGGAATTGCTGGCAAAAAAAAAGTTGCCAGTTTGATCTTCGAGCAGGCAGAGGTGGACCTGAAGAAAATGGAAGAATGCAACAGTATGGTAGCATATGAAACCAGAAATACCAGAAGTAAAAAAAAAAAACACACATTTTTTAAAAGATTTTTTCCCCTCACATTTTTTCAGTTCCATCATTATTTTAGCTTTGCCCTTCTGTGTACATTTTGGGAGGTTTTGCACATTATGAAAAGCAGGAAACTGAGAATATGTTCAGGAATATGCTGGAAAGTCTGACTTCTGGAATGGGAGATTTATAAGATCCAAAGACTGTGTATTTGTGTGTTTGTGAAGCTGTTGCTGGAAAGGATGTACATCTAATTGGTACATGACTAGTTACTGCTGTCAGGAAAGATAGTCAAAGCTTGTCTCTAGGGAAGGGACTGGTTAGCAAATTATGCCAATCTGGCAACGAGGGATTTGAATCTGCTGATCAAGCAAAGAAACCTCAAAGCATCCTTATGCTCTGAGTCAGTTTTGCTTCAGTGTAATAAACATGTTTTTGTGCAGAAACATCAGCTATCATGACAAATGAATTGATAATCCAATTAAAAGTACAAATGGTATTAGATGTCGCAGCCATTTGTTGTGCACAGGTGGGTTTTGTGAAGACCCTGAGAAGGAAATGCTTGCACTGAGCAGTGCCTGTGGCCATGCCCACTGCAGGAACTGCATGCAAATCCCTCTTCATTACCTGCTGATGTTTTGCCTGGGGTAATGTTCTGGCATGTGCCAAAGCGATAGCTAAAATGAGGAGGCAGGAACAGCACCCCATCTTACTTATGTTTTTCTACTTGCTGTTGGATCCCTGGGGCATTCAGAAGTTTTGCATGTAGCTTTTGCTAGTAAACTTCTTGTGTGGGTGTTCAGCACTGAAATGGTGGGAAAAGAGTGAGGGCTTTGTGCATTACTCCTGCAGGACGACTACAGTGGGTTTCTGATGGGATATTAGATTGTGGAGTGAGAAGTCTGACAAAGTGTTTGTGACTTTGGATATAAAGAGTTAAGGATCCTTTCTGTGTGCTCGTCTAATGGCTCTGCCATCCTTAAGGATGGTGAGATTTCCAAATGGTTATGTTTCCTAATTAGTACCCTTCAGCGATGTTACCTATACAGGCGGCTGCCTAAAGGATGCACATGAGCTTTGCCAGCTTGCTGGGGAGCTGTGAAGTTTGGTGGTGGTATGTGAATTCCTGATGAAATATTTGATTGCCTTCAATTCTGCTGAAGTTGGAGGGCATCACAACATGAAAAAAAAATTCAGGTCTGCGTGTATATGCATTAGAAAGGGAGGGAGGTTGATGAAAAACTCAGTAGGTCTTCAGAGCTGTTTTGTGGCTGATGAAGCACTGCAAAATGAATCCAGAAGGCTGAATTTCTTTTGGGGGACAGGCTGAGCCCTGGAGAAAACCAGCTTGTTTTCTCTTAGCTTTTGATGTTTTATCTGGTAGCTGTCACTGTGGTAGAGATGACACAAAATCTTAGGCTGATTTGTTGCTTGGGTCTTTTTGACCAGCTGAAAACAAGTGATGAACAATGAAGCACTGTGGGAACTGGAGTCTCATCTCAGGAGTCCAAATAAGTTACCACTTCCTGCTCCTCCCTTTCTTCCCTCTTCGCCTCATCAAGGTAGAAAGCTCAAGAGGATGGTTGCTGCTTGGTTTTTTTTTTCCTTCCTGTCCTTGCTCGGAGGAGTTTTCCTGTGTGCGCTAAGGCTTGCTAACTGCCTCTCTTGTGGCATCTCCATGGCCTTTTGGGCCGTTTGGCCACCATCCCAACAGTGGGATGCAGCAGGGGAAGTGAGGAGAAGGCCTGAAATGTTGCACCAGGAGGCAGCAGAAAACAGCCTCCTTGGTGGGATAAGATGGGCCGATCTAATACGCCTAAGTGCTGGGATCAGATGGGTAGAAAGGCACTACAGTCCCAACAGTGATACATGGCCTGCAAGAGGGAACTTCTCCTTCAGCCCCTGCAGGCTGAACTCTCGAGCACATTAGTAGCAAAATGAGCTCCAACCCACTCCAGCAATTCATTCCACTGATGAATCCAGGAACTCTTTGAGGTGGGAAGCCTTGTTTGCCTGTGGTCTCCTGATGGGGGTTTCTACCACGTAGGGCCTGATGTGAAAACAGGCGGCGGGGGTGGGGGAAGCCCTGTGCATGGAGCTCCACCTGGGGCCTTGCAGGCTGCCAGCTCCTTGCCTTGGTCCTCTCCCACACACTTGGGCATTGCGAGCCTGGTTAGCCCATGCTAGCCTTCCTCATGAAGGCCTTCTGAGCAGAATCTCCTTGGTCCAGCCACCTCATTCAGCTATAGAGAAGCTCTGCCTGTGTCTTCTCATGTTGTTTCTCCTGAGGGTGAAATAAGAAGTGGAGGCCTCCTGCCTACAGACTATCTGAGCACATGCTGCTTTCATCTTAGTGGCTTCAGTGTGGTCTGCACTGCAGGCTGAGTGCCTGCCACTGGCTGAGCAGAGTGACAAGTACCTGAGGCCAGCTTGCATTCACCCCTAAAATAAAAGAATTGGAAAATGCCAGAGTTAACTGATGTGTAAGCCATTGCTTATAGGACTGCATCCCAGATAAATGGAATAAAACCTGGTAAAGCCTCTCTTTGGTCCTAGCATGGCCAGGGGAACTAGGTTTGTCTTGAACATGGGGTAAGTAGACAGAATCGGTTACAGACTCCAGAACAACATGGAGTGATGTTGGGCATAACAGTCATGTTCCTCGTGGAGGAAGCTTTCTTCACAGAGGTAAGTCAATGAGCTTGAGAACATGGGTGATCACTCTAAGGTTTTCGAATTTCCTCACCAAAGTTCCCGGGAGAGCTGGGGTGTAATGGAGGTCTCTCAACATCTAACAACTGGTGGAAAAGGTGAGCCATTGGAGCACGAAGAGTACTTAGTTTAGCTAATTAGTTCTCCCAAGCTAGGGAAGGTACTGCTGCCTCCATTCAAGGACCTGTTGCTGTTGAATGTATTCAAAGAATGATTAGGAGAGGCAACTGATGACAGAAATTGCTGAGCACACCGTTATACAGGAGGTCAAAGTGTGAGGTTGAGCCAAGAGTTGTGGAAAAGCTTCGGCGTGTTTTGTGACCAGGTGATATAATGGTGGAGATGATCAAGTGCTGATAAATGTTTAGTAATACACAAGAGAGGGGGATAGCAAAGTAAGACTAGCACACAGATGCATAATAAAGTGTGAATGGTCTATTACTACCACGAGAAAGATCTTGGAGTCACTGAGAAAATTTGTTGCAGA